TACTTTTAAATAGCATTATTTGTGTGCAAATTCATGAAAATAAAGCAAAATCGCAAGTGAAATTGATTTATTACTTTATGTGAAGTAGAGTTCTTGTCTTTTTTGTTAGTTGATAAAAACAACAACGTTATTTTGTTCTACTTTTTTTTTGCTACAAAAGATTAGAAAGTTTAAAGTTATATTAATAAGCCTTCTAAATAAAGCAAGTGTAATATACGTTTTGATATTCTCAAGCAATATTCTTTACTTACATATTTCCATACACATGGAGGCTAATATTCACAGTACCTATACTAAATGCCAACATTAGAGCTACCGGCCTGATCTGCGGCCTGCCAGGCCACTAGGTCGAAATTGTTGACCTGACTCTTACATTTTGGAAATCAAATGTTAACGCATTGCCTTGACTTGCATTAACTGACAGAAGAACTTATTTAGATCCAAAACAATTAGATGATAAATCTTGCGTTCATGCTGCTGCGGAAATTGGTTGTCAAATATAAATATCCTTGCCTATTATTATAAATGTTGCTTATTCCCTACATTTTCTTTTATCTCTTCCTTGTAGCCCTAATCAAATGTTGTTTGTGCTATCATGACTGCATTTTTTCGGTTTTGCAAAACAGAACTGATATGATCAAAAACATGATGCTGACGCAAACCTTTCTTGTATAAAAATTTTTTATATCCTCTCTTTGCTTTAATTTGCTACTCCGTGCAAGAATTTTTTATTATCTTATTTTGATGGAAATAAATTAAGTAAGCCACCGAAACTAGAATACCACATTAATGCAGAGTTCTAGAATTAAATATCTTCATAAAATTAGAATCATCTATCGGCGTGCAAATATGTTGAACCAGATCAGGCCATACCAAAAAAAAGTGGCTTGCTGAGAGCGACTTTATACTAGAATTTTAGCTATCTACATGTTATTGTTACATAGCTATAAGTAATGCTAATATTATTAAAAATTTTAAGGAAATCTTGTGAGATTTTCTTAATGTGAGTCTTAAAAAAACTATTATTACGAATCGTACAAGATCTTCTTTGATTATAGTAGGAATGTTTAACCTCATTGGCATGACTTAGATTTTATCAAGTTCTGTTGTTTTATAGAGTAAATATTGTTATTATCTCGAACTATACGGCAATTCATCTTGATTTTATTAACTGTGTTCAATAGATCCAATTATTACTAACGAGGAACATTTGTAGGTATGGACTTGCTTTACAGCTGAGCCTTAGTGCATTTTGTAGATTTTAGTGAACTAAGTCTACTATAAACAGAGTTCGTTCTTAAGACTTGTTTCTGAAGCGGTTGAATGGTTGCAATCAGTTTCCACTGTAGAACCTCACATTTGCAGCAAGACCAGATTTTCGAATTTTGATCTGAAACTTTGTCCGAATGAAATCCTAATTACACCAGCTTGCATGAAAAATTCCAAAATTTATTGGACTAAGTTTCTTCAATATATGAAATTTTCAAGATATTGGCACTTTTCCATAGATAGTATATACAAGATGTATATTTTGAACGCTTCATATATTGGCGAGACTTAGTCTAAAAATTCTAAAATTTTTCATGCAAGTTAGTTTAATTGAGATCCTTATCTGAGCAAAGTTTCAGATCGAAATTTGACAACATGGTCTTGCCGCAAATATGAGATTCTACAGCAAAAATTCACTGTAATCGTTCAACTTCTTCATCGACAGGCTATAAGAGCGGACTCTTTTTACAGTAAACATAGTTCATTAAGATGTACAAAATGCGCTATGTTTCGTCTGAAAAGCGAGTCTATACCTACCAATGTTTTCTTGTAAGTTCCTTTTATGTCAAATTATTTATTTCTTTATTTTATATCATTTGACTGATCAAATTCAACAGAAGTAAAATTGCTTTTTCTTTTTAGCTTGTGTTTTCCTTTTAAGTTTTGTAGTTTTTAGAAATGATTATACATATGAAATTCAAGATAAGAGACTTTCACACGCAACCAAGCAGCTAGAAATTGAAAAACAAGAGAAAATGTTCTAGAAATCTCAGTAAAGTCATACATAAGTCTTATAACATCGTATTAGGTCTGGAACTAAAATGATGCAATAATCATAAGATATGATTTTTGTCAGAAATGCTTGTTTTAACGTTGACATATAAAAATGTACAGAATCGTGTATAGATGGATTGTTTGGTCTGGGAAGATTGACAAACTGCATTTCTTGAAAGAAAAAGTTATAATAAATCACTTATCAATGTCTATATATCTGCACTTCATCTTGATCTATCAGTTGTTACAATGAAGTGAAGTTCTTTTTCTTGTCCTATGAAGCATTTAACATCTTATGAATATCGATTATTGGATCTAATTGGCGCTTTGAAAATTCTCAGTGAGTTAGTTTGATCTATTTAAAAAAAGGACAGCATTATCAACGAACTCATTCAGTGATAATGAGAGTCATTTTCGCTTTTCATAAAATTCATGTGTATGTTTTTGTTGTTTCTGTACGTTATTTTCATTAAGGAAAAAGATATTAAACAATTTTTTTTCTATTGATAACAGTGCAGACAAAGGCGAGAGTGCTATGAAGAAAAGTAAAAAGTATTCGTAGTGAACGAATAGTTTAACGAATATAATAGGTTTTTTAAACTATTCAAAAACTTTTGTGATTTTGATGTTACTTGTAGATGTGTAATTATAATAAGCGGAGAACTGAAATTCTAGCATAGAATAGATCTAGACGTCTAGTGCGCGTACTGTGAATATAAGCCTTTATTACTAGAAAAAATTTGTGTGAGAAGCGAATATTCCTCGAGAAAATCAAAACTTATTGTATATTCTTTCTATAATAAGCTCTAAAATTTATAAGCATTCAAACTTTCCCGAATTTCATTTGTTTGAGATTTTAGTTGAATATTACATCTGCAGTTTTTCAATATCTATATAAAAATTTCTTGTCTTTTGAAAGTTCCACTTCAATCTATAGTGTAGTATTCATCAGTTTTTAAGTTTTGTCATTGTAAGTTTAAAACATGGATTTTTTGTTTAAAAATAAATACCAATCTGACATATTTTATAATAAATTCTATGATCTACATCATAACAATCATAAAAGATAATTTATCATCATTTTGCTGAAATCATTCAGCTGCAATATATCGAAAAAAAATTATTGGTTATCTCTATGGCAAGATTTCACTCATTATCATCATATATTAACCGATCAGAAAATGGTATATTCAATTCAATAAAAATATTCAAAATAGTACAATGAAAAATAGCTTTGTATTTCTTCCACTACGTCTTATGAAGGAGGGTTCCCGGATGATTAAAAGCTTTGGAGCTCATATTGTGCCTAGTCGTATGAGAATCGATAGGCTAGAATACTCTCTAAACGATTCGTATTGACGTTAAGATTTGGTCGAGATATTGACTTTTTAGTGAATTTCCTCGATATAGACCTAATTTTTCGATAAAATTCTATTGTTGAACTTGGGTCTGAAAACGTTGTCCAGATGAAGGTCTCAATGAGACTAACTTATGCACAATATTTCAGAAGTTTTCGATCGAGTGTGTCTCTGAAATATGCATTTGTCAGATTTTAAGCGATTTTTCATTGATACTGTGTAAAACATGTCGATTTTGGAAGTTGCATATCTCATAGGTACTCGATCAAAAACTTCTGAATTTTTGTGTATAAGCTAGTTTCACTCAGATCTTCATCTAGACAAAGTTTCTAGGTCAAAGTTCAACAATAGGATTTTATCAAAAAATTAGGTCTATACAGAGAAAATTCACTAAAAAGTCAATATATCGGTCAAATCTTAACGTCAGTACAAATCCTTTGGAGTCCATTCTAATCTATAAATTCCACACTACTTGGCAAAATATGGACTTCAAAACTTTGAATTATCTCGGGGCTTTCCCTCATTAACTAATTCATGTCATCAGAAAAATAAAGGATACGATGCTTATTGAATTCTGCGATGTAATTAATATTATATTAAGCTGTAAATTTTTCTATAATTCTAGATATCTATGATCAAATTGTGCATACATTATAAATTAAAAAAAGTTTCAGTGAGAATTCTTCAGAATTAAAATACAAAATTGATCTTATTGTAAACGAAAAATATTCATCAGCATTGCTTTCAATATATGAAATACTAGGATTCATTATGATCGATGATTTAAGATGCATACTGCTATGATAACTGGTATATAGTTGATAGCATTTGAATGACAGCTATATTTCATATATTATATGTTTATCTTTTTTATACAGCTGAATTCTATCGTTCATTTTCCATGTATCGTCTATAATTATTCTGTAATTAATATCTTTGATTTATTAATAATTTTGACACAATATTTTTCGTCGCCATTTTATTCTTCTACTCTTAAATAATAGATGTCGTTAATAATATAAATAATATTTATTGATTGATCTTTAATAAAAAGCTAATAATAAATTACAAACAAGGAAAAAAATTGTAAAAATAAATACAATCATCATCGATTCAACCAATAATCTTTCGAGATGAATCATCTTGATCTGACTAGATATACTATCCTTTGAGATTTGCGTGTTGATATTTATTAAATTTTTATATAAAATACTTTCTTTAATAATCATGTCTAATACAGAATTATTATCTGATCAAGCAACACAAAAAATTGATGATTTAACATGTTCAATTACGGAAAATGTTATTTTGTCATCTGATCAACAAGAATCAACATTGATAAATAGTGATTCAAATTCATGTTCGAAAGATATGTCTGATATTGATTCACAAGTAAAAAAATCCATATCTGAATCTGATATAAAACCGTCCAAAGATAATAATTTTTATTTAATCAAATGGATTGAATTTAATTTTGAAGAATTACCAATACTTTTACAAAATGTTAATGGTCCTTGTCCTCTTCTTGCTATTTTTAATATTCTTTTACTTAGAAAACGAGTAAAAACAAAATCTTATTAATAAAAAAATAAAGTTTTATAAATTAATTATTTAATATAGATTATTATTGATTCAAACAGGGATGTAATAAGTACAGAACGAGTTGTAACATTACTTGCTGAATACATTCTCGAATATGATCAATCGGTAAACAAAGAAAGAAAAAATTCTTATTTTTTGTTTTATCAAGATTTATTTTTTTTTCTAGAAATTATCTGACGAAGATCGAATTAATTATGAACACAATGTTCAAGATGCACTTGCTGTACTTGATAAACTTAAAACAGGCTTAGATGTTAATTTGAAATTTGATGGGTAAAAAAGAAAAGAAAAGAAATATTTTCTATGAATGTTTTTTGTTTTTTTGTTTTTTTAGTGTAGATAAATTTGAATATACACGTGAATGTATTGTATTTGATTTACTTAATATTCAATTATTCCATGGATGGGTTATTGATCCACAAGATATAGAATTACGAACGATCGTAACTGCAGATGCACCAAGTTATAATCAATTAGTTGAAAAAATGATTCGACAACGACATTCCGAGCGAGAAGAACTTGTTCGAGAAAGTAAAAAAACATACAAGTTTTCTTTTTTTTTTTTCTATTTCCTTTGCAATGATACGAAGTTAATTTACTTTTTCTTCTTAAAAAATGGGTTTAATTCGTTGTCTTTTCTTGCTCTTCAGTTATAAACAAAATGATGCGAAGCTAGAAAAATTCTTAATGACAATTACATTAATAAGAATCTTTTAGAGGAAATTGAAAGAATTTGTCAAGCTAGTAAAATGTATCAGATGACACATATATATATATATATAATGAACCTCTCAATAACTTTTTTCTTTTCAGAAGACATGCCATTTAATTCTTTATGAAAACTTAATCAGAATCTATTTCGATAGAAAGTTTCGGAGAGAAATCAAA